TAGCGCTGTGCAGCACAGCAGGGAATTCAGGTATCTCAAATTGCAGTGAGGAGGTTGTTAACCTGTAAAAAATCCAGTCTCGCAAACCAGCTGCTTCATTTGAAGAAAATTAATGCCTTAATTAATAGTTACTGAAATAAGGAAATGGGTAAGACTTTTGTCCTTCTTCTCCTCCCCTCCATGTGCAAAGAAATATAGTTTTGCTTAACTTGCATCCTCTTGTTTCCATACTTGTTTTAGTCATTATGTTCCTTTTGTATTGAAAAATCCAAAAGACCTTTCAAATAGTCTAAATTTTTTTGGATGCTATGAAGACAACAGCAAAGCAAATTATCTTTTCAACTGCAAGAAGATATCATTTGAAGCTGTATATATCAAGACTTTCCAGATTTGCTCTATTGCTGTGATTGATATTACACTTCAAAAAAAAAATACAGGAGCTGGGGTGTTTCATATGTTAAACATAAGTGAGAAAAATAGTTGTAAAATCTGAAGAGCTGTTAGAGCAGTAATATGTAGCTGTTTGAAAAAAAACATTAAACAAGAAACAAGTACGGTAGATCCTCCCTGAAGTGCAAACTCCCTTTTGTGGTTTTTATGCATTCTATAAAGTGTTGGCAGATGAACAGCATAATAAAAAACATGACTGTCCCCAGTTGTCTGCTCTGCCCCTCTGCCAAATGTCTAACCCACTACCCCTCAGCAGTCAGTGAAGAGACATCCACTGCTTCTGAGGGAAAAAAAAGGCTTTTTAGGATAAATGCCACCTTTGTCACCTCTTTAATTAAAAGATGCCGGGCTGCACGTTCCCATTCCTTAGACGAGGGGATACTGTCCCTTGTGAAGGATAACAGCAGGAGGAAGCAATTCTACCCCTGTGCAGCAAGGCTTGTCATGCTGTCAGCAGCTCCCACTTATGAGCCAAGTTAGTCCCCACTCCCTCATTTAGTTCAATTGTTTGAGTGGTAATTGCAGAAGTATTTGGATATGTCATTATTTGTTATGAAAACTTTGACTACGGAAAATGAGGCTCTTCTAAAATAAATCACACTTTCGTATGATGAAACTGCCTTTGTTGGTACATTTCTGTGCACATAAGGTTAGTTTTCACCTCCGTTTCCAAAGGTGAATTAACTGACTTTTAATGAGTTGCAAGAAAATATGAATAGCATTAAAAATTACATTTAGCTAATTTTGCAGACAAAAACCAGCATAAGGATGTCTAAGTGTTATCAAATGTTTTCAATTTACACTTGGCACAATTATTTCCATGCTTGACTTGAGAACTGAGCAGATGCCAAACCAAGGAAGTAAGCACATGGAGAGCAAACTCTTGGAAATATAAAGAGATTAAATAACACTTCTGAAAACTGTTTTTCTATTTGAAGACCTGAGTAAGGTTACAGAGCATCACTTTGGTAGGCAGCTGAGCATAAAGACAAAACACTGTAACTCAGCCTCTGTACAGCACTTACACTCAGCTTTTTATTTTATAGATATCTGAAATTAGACTGGGTTTAGGTGAGCATACATACTAACTTGTTTAGCTTCCTTAGTTAGTGAAACAAGATAGGTATTTAAATAAATGTTTTGATTAATAACCATTTATATCAGCATTTCATAATTATTCTATAAAATGACAACACATTTGCAATAAGCAGGCTAATAATCTGGGAAGATTATCCTTAATGTATGTTGGATATTGGACTGCCTTATGCCTCGCATTTTTACAGTTTTGCCTAGTTTAGGTTTTCATGTCTAGAAAACCTTCATGGATTTCCCTAAGTGCATGTAAAATTATAGACAAAAGCAGAACAATATCGTTTCCATAATCAGTTTAAAGCCTTCTGCTAAAACAGATAAGCTCCCCGGTCTCTGTGTCTGGGGACTCTGCACTGTGATGCCAGCACAGAGGCTCTCCCAGTTCACACATCTCCCTGCAGTGACTGGAAGGCACTGGAGCTGTGACATGAGACACTACTGTATTTCTCTGTAGTAGTTTCTTTTGAGGGTGCAATGTTTTGACAGTGTTTCTCAGAATTGTATCATTTCATTTTAAGCATATAGGTTCCGCTCTTTTCAATTAACAGAACAAATCTGTGAATCTAACCTGTATTTTACACAAGGTATACAGCTTGTATTTACCCCTATTTTTCAAAGACACTCTACTCTGAAGCAGTTTTGGTGTTTCTCATCTTGTCTGGGTCTTATTCAGAAGTGTCTGCCTCTAGTATATGTGCCAGCAGGCAGAGGTTAAATTAAAGTAAAAAGAAGTGGTACGGAAGACGCCCTAAAATTTAATTTTAATATTTTGGAATGCGTGCACACCACAGGTATGGTGGAGCACTTTAAGGTATTTGAGTGACTGGTGACAAAACAAGTGACAGGGACAACACCCACTCCTCTCTCCTCCGGCATGCCCTCCAGGCTGGCTGTGTGCAGCAGCAGGACTTCGGGATCTCTAACACAGACACGGCTCCTGGATTTCAAACACCCTGTAACTTCCCCTGGTGACAAATGGGTATGAGATAGCAGCAGCAACACCTCCAAACATTAGTCACACTGCTTTCCAACAAGCAGCAATTACATGTAATAGGTACTCTGTCATCTTGCTCCAGCTAAATTTTATAAAGAATTTGCTAATAAAAACTTGGCTTATGCTTACAAGCACACTATACCACTTCAAAAAGCAAAGGAAAACTTCAGCTTGACCTAAGTTTAGTTGCATATTGTCAGCTGTTAAAGTTTGCTGCACGTTTATTAGGTTACTTTTCAGTTTTTACATCTAATGTAGGGTTATGACTTCTCCTCCTACCAGTTTTGTCTTCGTATTTATTTTCATATTTATGTGTTGCATTATAATTCAATGCAATTTTTATACATCCAGCAGTTTGAATAAGAAGTTCAGAAATATAAAGATTTATCTTCATTATTAACATTGATATAAGTGCACATTTCAAGATATTCAACTATTTATACAGCTATCTAGCCTCATTACCTAATAAATCCTGCTGAGCCTGCTGCATGGAGAAAACTGGTGTTGTTCTCTTAGGTGACTTTGGCATTTCATTGAGGTTATGATTAAGTTCCTTGAACTGAAAGCAAGCGTATGGATTCAATCTAGTTAAAAATAAAAGAAATGCTGCTCTTCTGTTTTTCAAAGCACTCGAAAGTGAGAGGCTAATATATAGTTGTGGCTTATCTGAAGTTTATTGAGTGAACTTAATATACTGTTGATTTGATATCAATACCAGCAGAGAAGAAAGACAAACTTGGTTGTTCAAGTGAAGTTGAGACAGTGCCATGAGGTGCATCAAATTTTCACTCTAGAGTCACCACAATCCAGTTTCCATGAGGGACTGGTATATAGGGATACCAACAGGCTTGTATGCATGACATGGCAGCTGTAACATCAACTGAGACAAAATCACTGATTTTGACTAAGGTGGATGGGTCACCTTTACTTAACGTGGAAAAGGGACATGTCTATTAAAATGCACAGGTTTTTCTCACTACTGATACAAATAAAACATTTCTGAGGAAGCTGACCTTCATACTCACAGGCCTATTATATTTTACCAGTCTACATAGGTAGGGACAGATTTGCACCTGGATTTCAGTCTGGGATTGGATGTGAGTTTACTCCTGCTCAAATATGTGCAGTGAAATGTTCTTCCTGTGCTTTGACACATGCCATTTTCCCCATCATGCCCAGAAATACAGTTTCAAGTAACACTCTCATGGTAGTGAAACTTGAATCATCTGAGGAAAAAGCAGAGTTGTTTGGATATAGAAAATTTATTCCTCACTGCTGCTGAGATGAACATTGAACAGCACTCAACCTGGTTTACAATTTCCAAAGAAAATGAAACACAGGAGGGGATAGACCAAGCACTAGGAGCTTATTCTGAGACTGATCATGTCAGCTCAAATGATAATGGATTGTGAAGAAAAAAAAATCCAATCTTAAAAGCTTGTTTGTCTGCTGACACATCACGTACACAACTGCACAGAGCAATTTGATCCGGCTGCAGTCTGCCAGGTACAGTCTAATGTGGCAGCGCCGCTGTTCTTCCCACCGCAACGAGGAGCCCCTCAGGCGTGACTGACCAGAGCAGGAGCCCGGCAACGCCAGCGCTCCAGGAACCTTCTGTTTATTTCCGTGGCGCTTCCTGCTGACACGAGGACTCGGGGGAATTTCGGTCCGCACCCGAACCGCGGCTGTGGCAGCTGTGGGTGCCAAAGGCACGGCTCGGGGGCTCCTGTTTGGGACAATAAACTCAATCCCTTTCCCGAGGCCCCGCGGCCGGTGATCCCGGCGGGATGGCCACGGCATCCCGCACAGCCGCTGACCTCGGCAGCAACTGCCTTCCTCCCATCGGGCCCTCGAGGGTTTCCAGGCTTTATGTGCCTCTCTCCGAGGATGCGGGAGAGCGCGGACAGCTCGGGCTCAGCCAGGAAAGCTGCTGGGACTCAGCGCTGGATGGAACAACCCTCCTGGCTCCGGGACATCCCGAGGGACCAGTGCATCGCCTCCCGGGACGCTACCATGCATCCGCCGGGAACGCCGCTAGTCCAAACCTTCCTTACATCCCAAACAAGTGCCTTTCTCAGGAGCAACCCGGGGGCTGCCGGCATCCCAGTCAGCCGTCCCAACAGCAGGGGAAGCCCAAAACCTGAGGCATGAACGAAACGCCCGGGATGGGCATTAATTCAAACCTTCCTTATTCCCAAACAAACGGCTTTCTCGGGAGCGCCTCCTCCCCCGCGCTGCCGTCCTCTCCGCGTCCCCATCCCCTCTCCCCTCGCGCCCCGTCAGCCCCCCTCGCGCTCCCTGCGCACTCAGCCGAGCCCGCCGCCCCCAATCCCCTCAGGACCCGCCCCCTTCTCCGCCCTGCGATTGGTCATTCCCACTGTCACTCCGGCACCTCCCCTGCCCATTGGTCGAGGCTGGGCCACCGCCCCGCCCCCCCGGCGCTGTCGGTTGGGGCGAGCCGAGAGTAAATAGACGCCGGAGCCCAAGATGGCGGAGCCGCCTAGCCCCGGTCGTGGCGCGGCGCCCCCCGAGCAGGAGCCGCTCGGCGCCAGGGCGGCCCCGGACGCGAAGGGTTCCCGCGGGTCCCAGCCGGCCGCCAAGAAGGTGAAGGGAGCCGAGGAGCGGAGCCTGAAGGGCGCGAAGCGCGTCAACGGCGAAGGGGGCGGCGGTGGCGGCGGGAGCGCCAAGCAGCCGCTGCCCGCGGTCGTACCGAGCTACGGCGGCCCCGCGCCCTGGGGCTTCGCCGCGCTGCCCTCGGGTCCCTCGGCGGGCGCGGGGGGCTTCGCCTTCCCTGCCCCGCTGCCCCGGAAGCTGCTGCCGCCCGCGGTGCTGCTGCCGCCGTCCACCTCCCCCTCCTCGTCCCACCCGCAGCACCAGCACCGCCACCACCGGCACCGCCTGGCGCTGGCGGCAGAGCCGGGGGGCGGCGGGAGCGGCGGCAGCGCCAAGCCCAAGAGGCCCAAGGAAAAGCGGGACAAGGAGAGGAGGAAGCACGGGGCGCTGCCCGTGGTGGCGGCAGCGACGGGAGATGGCGGCGGGGGCCTGAGCCGGGAGGAGAACGGGGAGGTGAAGCTGCTGTTCCCGAAAGGTGAGCGCGGGACAGCGCGGGCAGCCCGGGGCGGGGAGGCAGCGCTGGAAGGGGCAGGAAGGGGGGGGGGGGGGGGCGGGGGGGAGGTGCCCGGCGGGAGCAGGAGGGGGCTGTGGTGCCGGGCTGGGGGCTGCGGGCAGTGCAGGACCCGGTCACACACCGCCGGCGTTGTGTAAGTTCGTGGGAAGGCAGCGACGGCTCAGTCCGCCGTCAATCCTGTCAAAAAAGGGGGTGTGGAATTAGCGATGGCGTCAGCCAGAAGCTGCCAGAGGCCTTAGGTTTTCTTACCTATTAGGGAAATAAGGGTGCTGAGTAATTTATTAGAGATCTGCGAACAAAACTGTATCGGGGGAAAAACGGAGAACACGTTTCAAAAAAACCCACCCCAATTTAAAATTAAATCCTGAATGATCTCGTTTATTAGTCTGTTAATTTTTACAGGGTAAGTCATTGAGTACTAGAGAACATGCAGTTAAAATTCAGATACTTGGACTTTTGAATTCTCATTTAGTTGCTGCTTCGGGTTTACTTTATTTCCTGAAGATCACATCTTCCAAGAAATGCTCGAGGCCTTCAGGAGAAGGGGAGGAGTGCTGGGTTAGTTCATTAGTGGTGCTGGACAAAAATGGCCATATGAGGTAGGACAAGATGTTGGGCCAGATTCTTGCTTGGATTCCCGCTGACTGTGATCAACAATAAATCTTGGGAAGTAAAAGACAATGCATGAATATATGACGACAGTACAAGAATACATGCTTTTATTTCCAGTGTGTCCTTTCCCAGTCTCCAGTGACCTTAAACCAGATGTTGATGTTTTTGCATTTACATTGAAATATGAAGAATTTGAAATGTGTGCTCCATTACCTAGTTTAAGCAAGTTTCCTTTCTTTCAAAGGAAAAATAAATTGTAGCTGTTGTGTACACTTAGGTTATTTTGATTGTGGCCTGTGTTTGTAGGATCAGACAAGCATGTAGAGAAATCTTATTAATAGCAATATGCCTTTTTGTCTATTGATTATGTTGTCTGGCTGCCTTACTGCATTTTCCACTAATTTCCATGAGCATCTTGGTGTATGATTTACTTACCTTTTAGGTTTTGGGTTTTTGTAGATTATTTGGATTGGTGGTGTACGAGTGGTTTTTAAGTATCTCATTTCAGTGCTTTCAAGTATTCCATTTTAGTGCATTTTTCCTTGTTCCTGTTAAAAGGTGACTTGGAAAAAGTCTTAAGAAATGATGCTCAGAAATGATGTTGGTGAAGCCTTCTTGTCTTCAAGGATAGCTGCGAAGAAGCTCACCCAATATCCTTCTAGTAAAGCTATGTAATTAATAACCATATTCAATAAGATTGCCACAGTGTCCTACCAGTGTTACAGTCATGTTAATAAGTCTCTGGGATCCATATTACAATAACAATATGTAACAATGTATAATAATGAAGTGTTTTTTCACATTGGTAAAAGAAATTGGCAGTGATGGTGTCAACTGAATAATTGTTGTGATTTGTCTTTAAAGAGAAGATTCTGCACCTTGTATCTGGAAAGGATATTTTCTTGGAACTTAAATACTGACAGTCACAGATTCTTGACTTTTTAGTTGCTGATTGCTCAGAGCAGATCTTTTTACCTCTCGTTTATTTTGTGAAAACCTACCTAATGCAACACATAAATTTTCCACAGCAAGTGTTTGGCATCTGAGTCTCCAGATTTCTGCTTAGAGGAAGTAGTTTCTATACCTAAAATTTTATGGCATAATTTCTTATATAAATTAAGAACTTTATGTTCATTAGACTATATTTTTGCAGAGAAGGCTGTAGGGAAGTGAAGCATGCACTGTCTTCTGCTGAGAGCAGCCAGCCTTTTAAAAATGGTTTAGTATTTGACTGTAGATTAAAGAACAGGTTTGTGCTGTTAATCCTGTGAATAATTTACTTTTCGGAGAGGAAGGGAGAAATGCAGTTGTGATGCAGGAAAAAAAGAATGGCTGGGGGGCAGGCATGTAGAATCCTAAGCACAGAGGAAAACTAGGAATGACATATTAGGGTGGGAGGGTAGAATATGCAGGGCTTGTTCTTGGGAGTGCTGAAACTGTGGCATAGACTGGAAGGAGATACCTTAGGGACTGTGGTTGCAGCATATAATGAGTGAATTTGAGAAACTGGCATGAGAGGGAGGAAAAGCAGAGGAAGGTGTAAGTGTAAAAGGAAGGTGATTCTGATCTTGTTTTGGGGCAAAAGATATACTTCAGTGATGTAGAAAAGGCACGGAGGGTTAGAGGAAGGGTGGGATGGAAGAGTGAAAATTTAGTCAGCCTACAGATACGACTTCAGGGTGAATTAAGAGGATTTTGTGTAATTAAAGTAGCTGAGAGGTTTGCATACACAGAATATGTGGGGGGTGGGGGAGTAGAAAAAAATATGCCCCTTAAGGTGTAATGAGATGAGTTCATAGAAGCTGTCACCCTGCAGCTGGAAATGCACTCTAAAAATTGACCTAATGCAGGCAAGTGCAGTCTGTTGTTCCTGGAGTCTGCAGTTGAACAACCTTTTTTGTTTTGGTGCAGTGGAAAATGAGCAGCAACATGGAATTAAGAGTATTGATTGTTTTTCTCTCATAGCTTTCAGAACTGCTGCAAGTATCAGTGTTGCACCTGTCAGAAAGGAGATAGTGCCAGCGAGGACACTAGAAGTGTAGAGGCGGAAATACCAAGAGATAAGCAGGTGGAATGAGTAGGAGTTCTATGGTTTTGAGGCTTTGAAGATGGAAAAAATCCATCCTCCTCTTTGCAGCCAAAGGGGAGGTGCCTTGCAGGTGGGTACGTGGGATGGAGTGGAATTCACAACTGGCTTTGCCCTGATAAGAGAGTGTCGGTGCCTGTGAGTAGGGAGGAGGGTGCTGTGTGCCTGCTCTGCTCCATAGGGCAGTTGAGATGCCAGGAGAAAAAGCTTTACCTTGGTGAGGGCCTGCACAGATCTCAGTATTAGAGAAAATGAGGAGCAGAGCTAGGGGGATCAGGGGAAGAATGGCAACATTTGTCTCATGAGGTTGCTGAGTCTGTAGTGTAGACAAGGTAATACAGGGAATCAGGGTGTGCAGTGAATGTGAGATCTGGCCTTGCAAAATCGTCATCATAAGACTTGGAGTAGTAACAATTGCATTTTTCTAATTCTAGTGTATCTACTGTGATGATGATAAGAGATATTGAGGAGGACATGGTGAGAAGATTTTTCACCTAGCATTCAGAAGTGCTGATGAGAGGAGCTGATGTTTGTCCTTTGCTTGCAACAATGATTGCCAGATGAGAGCCTAGTTTTGAGGCACCTTTCTTTCCTAAGTGATAGGAAGATGTTAAACCTGCTTATAGCCAAGATGGATGATGTGTTTAAAGCTCTTCAAAATGGTTATATTTTCTTCCTTGAACAAGTCTTCATTTAAAGACTTCTCTGGTATTTTAATTTATTGCAAAGACCTTCAAGTTACAGAGTCATAACCAAGCCTTACAACTTGTGATTCCATCAAATGAATGGAGTTCAGTGAACCTTTCTGAGATGATGATCTAGCATGCAGAGAACCTGAAAGAGCCTTTTGCCAGATGCATGATTTATCCTCTGTATACAAGGCTTAGGCTGTTTAAAATAAGCTTAAATTTCACTTGTCACGTACATTCTGATAGTGGAACTAGAAGTTGTGCAATATTTTTGTTTTAAAACATGGTGTGAATCTGACAAAAGTGATTGCTGTTTCAGGTTATGACTATGCTGATTCAGTTAGTCATTTAACTGATCGTCTGCTCTAGCAGTTCATAGTTGAAATTGTTTTCATAACAGTGCAAAGCTCAGCTCAACCACTCCCCACTTCATCAGAGGACACCTGCCCAGAGTTTTTGTTTTGGTCTGCAGGCTTGCTGTAAGATATAATCCAGTTGCGTGATCCATCAGTTCTGCTTTTATTGCCATTTCTGTGTACAGAATTCCTTTTTTTCTTCAATGATCCATTTGCTGATTACCTCAGTGTACAAGCAGTTGCAAAATGAAACTGGTATCTTTAACTTGTGAATGGGGATTCCCCAATGAGCAGGAAAGCTGTAAATGGTGCTGTAGCTCTTATTTTTCCTATTAGTTTGTTTCTCCCTTTGCCCCCTTCCCCCAGTTCTTTCTCCTGCTGTCTTTGAAGGATAAATTAGATTACATTTCAGGTGAGCATTTCCCACTGATTCTTCTAATAATTCTTGCATTATGTTGCATGACACTTCTGGGTTTTTGGCTTTTAAGAAGTTACACTTTTCGGTCCTGTTAAATTTGGTTTGCATCCAGTGGAATGCTCATTTCGTAGTCTGTGTTACTAAAGTAGGTTGGAGAAAGCTTTGGATCTTCTTCTTTTTCTCTTCTTTAGAACTAGGACCATGAATCTTGCTTCTTTTGTTGTCTTTTTTTTCTTCTGCTAAATGTTTCCTCCTTCTGTTAGCTTCCATTTCCTTTGCTTTTTTTTTTTTGGTACTATGTGGCTTAATTCACTTCCCCCTTCCCTCTGCTGAACTCCTTAAATTCACCAGTCGTTTTCATGCTTGCGAGGCCTCTTGATCACTCTCTTATGAATTCTTTGCTATATTTCTATTTAGATACCCCACTGTAAGCAGCAATATCTAGCAAGTGTTTAGAGTTTTAAGTGTGGTATTCAAGAGGAAGAGGGACTTCTCAGATTTCTTTAGATGTTTGAGATGTATATGCAATTTAGTTTTCAGAGCTGGTAGTGACATTAACTGTAAGTGTCCGCTGTTGAGATAAATTTGGAGCAGTGTATCTTTCTCCTGAGGGACCCTGACCCTTTTTCAGTGAGATAACCAGAAGCTTTGCTAGGCAGAACAAAATCTTTCACCTTCTAAGCTGGAGAACAAAGTCCCTCCTGTACCCCAGAATCCAGCCTTATGTGTAATTTACACAGCAGAAGCTTGCTCTGATTTTAGAACATGAAATAATTTTTCTTAGTTGACACAGGATCAGG